CCCTCTTCCTTCACTCGAGTCCGTTGATACTTTGATTCAGTCCCCTCCAACTGACCAGACTGAATCATGCAATCTGTCACCTAGGAACAGCGGTCTGTTGGACGCTGTACTTTATGAAGCACAAACTATGAGAGCTTCAAAGAATAACTTGCAGCAGGAGAGTTCCGGTGATGTGGTGGATAATTCATGTCCAGATCTCCATGAGACTGGGTGGGAAACATATGGTGATCCAATCTCTCCTTTAGGTCATTCTGCTGCATCTGTGTTTAGTGAATACACCCCTACTAGTGGAAGCTCATCAGAGGAGCCCCAGTTAGTGACGATGCCAGGTGAGACTGATTATAATATTCACTTCTCCTAATTGTGTTAACAGTTGAAAACATGAATTTTATGTAATTTGATTGTTTTGTGGTTGTGAAGGTTGCAAGGTTAAGCAGGAGAAGTTTGACTTCGGGCCCTATGATGGGAAGGATGACGCCTCAAACCCGATCTTTTCCAGGCCAGACTACTTGCTTGACTCCAATTGTTTCAGTCCTATGCAGAACTATGTGAGAACCATTTGGCGCTGAAAGATGCATTTTGGCTACAGTCCTTTTGATGACTATATCGGTAGTCAAACCATCAGATCAAGTTTGTGGACATGGCTCTTGCACAGGGGATGCCATGTCTACCATCCAGTCAATAAGCTCAGCAGGATTATGGTACTTTTACGCTTTGCAAACATCTTTCCCATACAAACTTTGATTGTCTCAGCTGTTAAAGGACAAATAGAAAACAATGTAGTATTTTCCGATAAGACTGAAAATGCCTTCTGCATGGTTGTGTTTGAGTTGTGGAGTCTTTGAGATTCAAACAAATGACACTTCTTGTATGTGGCATTGAATGGCCTGCTTTCTAATTCCGTTGTGTTGACCACAAATGCAACACATCTCCTTTGTGCTGGGAGGACATTAAAGTTGCAGTATTGCTTTCTCTTATGCTCTCTTTCTCTCCAAATGAGTTGTGTAGTTTCGGTTTTGAGTTATATTGGACAAGAATACAAGTAATCACATATGATAGAGGGTTGTAAGCAGCACTGAGCACGTACAAGAGATAATAGGAGAGTGTTGCTTTAGATGAGTCTTAGGAGACATGCACATGGAATCAATGCAGAGCAAAGGGTCATTAAAGCAATAGTAGCAAACAGAAACTAATGCTTAGTTATTGTTCTTACACTTATATTAGGATGAGAATTCGTCATGATTCCTTGAATTTTTGCTAAAAGTCTTGTAAGTTAATAGCAGCAAGTGTGAGTTTTTGAGAGAACTTCTAGTTTTACGGTAATTTGCCTTTAAATGTAACAGGATAAAAGCATAATGGATTCAGAGGATTCATATAAATGGACCCAACTAATTGTGATTATGAGATAGTTGATTGATTGAAGAATCTTAAATACGGGAGAAGTGCACGGTTAGTCACTAAGAACACATGTATTTACTTTTAAGCCACTGTTTAAAATGTCTTTAGTCTTTAACCACTGCTTTAATAAACTTTAACTACCTGGACAAAAATATCCTTCTGCTCATGTCCTTATCTTTTGAACTTAACTTCAGGACTACATGTCCTTAACTTTTGAACTTGGAACTCTAAGTTCAGGACTTCAGGACTACATGTCCTTAACTTTTGAACTTAACTTCAGGACCACATGTCCTTAACTTTTGAACTTGTACCTGTAAGTTCAGGACCTATTGTCCTTAACTTTTGGGCTTCTTAGCCTAAATGACCTATTGTTTTTAACTTTTGAATTTAACTTCAGGTCAGGACTACATGTCCTTTACTTTTGGACTTGTAACTGTAAGTTCGGGACCAAGTGTTCTTAACTTTTGAGCTTGTTAGTCTAAGTTCAGGACCTATTGTCCTTAACTTTTG